ACGCCATGGCGAATCGAGCTGCCGGGAAAGGTTACGAGAACAAGAATTTTTATGAGAACATCCAATTTCTGTTTTTGCCAATCGAGAACATACACGTTGTTCGGAATAGTTTATCCAAGCTGAATGACGGTGAGTCCATGTTTGATGATACTTCGAATAATCTCATAGGAAACCTCGTTTCAGCAAACTTTTGAGGACTTGAGAAAAAGTTCGTTGCACTGAAGAGTTTTTTGTGACAACATTTGCAGAATTGATAGCTGGAAAAATTGTATGCATCAGACCTGCCTATAAACATAAAATCTTGCCTTTCTGGCATTCTTAGATTTATATTATCTTTTGAAAAACGGATTGATCTTTTTAAAACAATTATTCAACCATGCATTCTATCAGTTGCACCTGTATCTTCATTTTGAGAGAATGATGTGTGGAACCACTTGGAAGATTGATTGTCATTGATTATAGCTTCTATTTATGCTGTAAGAACCAGTCAGCCGAATTTGGGATTTGAAATTTCAAACTGTGTCTGCCTTAGTCAGGAAATTTCTACTTAGAGAATCTATTAAACATTCTTCAAAAAAGATTGTTATACTGAATTTTGTGAATTCGTTTTAATGAGATTGCTATTACGGTATGTGTACTCTATGGGCTTACTGCCAGGACTTTATATTTGAAAATTTGTCGTTCTGGTATGTGCGGTAGCAAGATTTTACTCTGTAGGAACGGTATCTCGAGATTCTAGGCACCATCTTGTCTTGCTCAAACCCCATTAAAATTGGATCATATAGGCTTTCACATCAACACTTTTTTTTCTCATTCGGGTCACTTTTCAAGTTTTTTGGGTGGCTTGCCTGCCACAGAAATTGAATCTACAGTCGAGGTCCCCGTTTAATTATAGTGAGATTGTTTTAAGACGTATTCTGTGGGCTTTCTGCCAGGACTAGAGATAAATTTGGTTTTACTGAAAAATGTATTGTAATGGTGTTGGTCAGTAACGAGATTTTAATTTGCTTTATGTAATACGTTTAGGCGACAATTTTTGTCGGGAAGAACTTTGGAAACGATCTCGGAAACGATAGATTTTTGCAGGAGCAAGTCTCTTTAATAGCCGGATCATATTTCGAGTCTCGTCGAGTGGAAAATGAGGATTATTTGCTCTTTTTTATTTTTCTCAGCATGTGAGCTGAAGAACCCGAGTATGAGCAGCTTTCTATCCGGCCTGGAGAGCAGTGCGTGGCTGAAACACATAAAAGCTATTCTGGAAACTTCTCATTTTGTCGCGCAAGCCCTGGCTTCGGAGGGTGTGTCCGTGCTCGTGCACTGTTCAGACGGATGGGATCGAACGGCCCAAGTGTGCTCTGTTGCCCAGCTGCTAATTGACCCCCATTACCGCACCATCCAAGGATTCCAGGTGATTTGCTTCGTTGGTCTTTTTGAAGCGATATTATTCGCTTCCGAATTTTCTGGGATTCGATGCTGATTTGTCCTGCCTATTTTCGTATAGTACCGTAACTCGCTTTTTGTGTTCTTTCGTCGTATTTTTCGTCATTATCTCACTATTACCTGTGATCACTGATGTCAATTATTTCTGAGAGATGATAAGTTGAAATTACTGTAGAACAGATACGGTGTTTCGTTTTCTTCCCCATATTTTGGTGAGCATGATTTGTAAGGTTTTGTATGGGTTCATTTGGAGACATCCAACACACTATCGGGTACACAAATAATCAGAAGATGCTTGAAAAGAAGCATCGAATCAGTAAGGTCTTCGATCAGGATAGCCATTTTCCGTGGGGAAAACTTTTTGAGATCTATTTTTTCCATGTTACCTTTTGTTTTTATTGTATGATTATACAGTGACAAATCGTTACCGCGAAGTCAATGGGACCGGGAAATAAGCTTCGTTGT